CTCTGGCCTCGGAATGTAAAGAGTAACTCGACAAAATTTCATCAGGATCGAACGAAAATAATACAAGTTACAAGGAAATCACAAACACGCAACGGTCGATTCGGACCTTTGATCTTCGATTCAAGGAAGAGAAAGAGACGCCATCGGCCACCGATGCAAAAGAGTCGGATTTCCGCTTCGCCAATCAGTTCTGACCGATAGCCTTTTGGCAATCTCCATTCGATATTGCGGTGAACGCGAAGAAAAGAGAAACAGATATAAAATGTATAGAATTGGAGTAAATCGATGGCTTGCAATTGCAAATGGCAAAAATACGTTATCAGCGGAAAATCATGCGGCGCGATAATATTTTACAAATTGTTCGCGGAACAACAAGTGACAGAAAGGGAGGGAATCGAATATTTTGGCTGGATGTTTAACAAATTTCATCGTTCGATTGTACTTTACGGGCCGCAAACAATAACGTTCTGGCAATTAGCATCATAAAAGGAGAAACACACGTCGGAGAGCATAGCGAGCCCAGAATTAATTTACCCAGCGGCGAGATTAATTGTTTAACCACGCGTTAACAAAGACTGTATTATTAGTGACGCAACTTTTACGTCGAAACAAGATTTTTTCGTGTTGACGTCGAGAGACAAAACGGCTAGAAAAAACTCGGTTAGAAAAAAAATTCGAAATTGCTCCCAGACAAAGCCAGGACAGGCCGCTGATGAAAAATAAATTGATTAACGTATTAATTTAGACGAAAGAAACTCTGAAACTACTCAATAGTTTCTACAAATGCTTCTAACGAACTTTAATTTAATTGAATAAAAAGAGATTTAAATTTCCCGCGGAAAATTACTATCGCCATCTAGCGGTGAACATACCGAACTAATTTCGGAATTTGGTCAGCGCCTCTATCGGGAAGACGCTCAAGTTTGTCCTCGATAGTTCCTTTTTCCACTGCTAGATGGCGCCATTAACTTACCGATGTAAGGTTACTACATAAAAGAATTATAAATATGAATTAACACCGAATATAAACAATGATAACAATTTATTTAAAAACCAATAATATTAAAAACAAGATTAACAAATTGAATTAAAAAGCTGGTTGAAAAACATATTTGAACACTACGATTCTCCCTTCAACGCTAGATGGCGAACACAATGACAGTTGGTGGCGCTATCGGTGGCAAAACGTCCAAGTTTGTAGCGAAATGGTTCAAAGTCTCGCCCACTAGATAGCGCTACACAACAATGTCTTCTATATTATACAAAAAAGTATTGAATAAGTTCTTTTTCATGAGCCAAAGGTTAAGAATTCAAGTTCCTATGCATTATGCTCAGATAAAGTATAATTATGCATATATATAACGGAAATTAAATGTACGAAAAATTGTAGCTTTTGTACATACATTGTGGCGTTATCTAGCGATTAGAAATAAGAATTATTTCACTAGAAACTTGGGCGTTTTGCCACCGATGGCGCTGATCAAAATTGATCAGTTTGTAAACATAACCTCTTGGATATTTTTTATCTGTACAACGTGTTTAATGTGAAAATAATAAACAATGCCTAAGAGAAAGAAGGTAGTTAAAGTTTACAATACGAAAAAAAAGCACGAATCCGAAACAAAAATAATCGAGAAACTGCAATCAAGGTATTTCAGTGTAAGTGCTGATTCTTTCTTTATCATTTGTTCGAATAACTTGTTTTCATGAAGATTATATTTTTGCAGATTGACGAAATAAAAGCAGAAAAATTTACGGATCTTCCGATATCATCCAAGACTTTAAAAGGCTTGGCAGAAAATAATTATTTTGTTATGACGGATATTCAGAGGCAAAGTATCGGACTGGCATTGCGTGGAAATGATATTTTAGGAGCTGCCAAAACTGGCAGTGGGAAAACATTAGCATTTCTTATTCCAGTAAAATACTTGATTAAAGTTATTTAATAATTGCATTTGAGAACAATTTTTAACTAAAATATAATTTTTTTAATTATGAAGGTACTGGAAATCTTGTATTGTAAGCAATGGACAAGATTAGATGGACTTGGTGCACTCATTATCACACCAACTAGAGAGCTTGCTTATCAGATATATGAAACATTGCGTAAAATTGGTCACCATCACGATATTTCTGCTGGTCTTATTATCGGTGGAAAAGATTTAAAGTTTGAAAAAAAAAGAATGGATCAATGTAACATTGTCATATGTACTCCAGGTCGTTTATTACAACATATGGATGAAAATCCATTGTTTGATTGTGTGAATATGCAGGTAAATAAGTATACAAAAATAAAAATGCTTAAAATAAAGTAATAATAGATCTATATTTACGTGGCTTTTAAAATTGGAGGTATTGGTATTGGATGAAGCAGATCGATGTTTGGATATGGGTTTTGAACATACTATGAATTCTATTATAGAGAATTTACCACCAAAGAGACAGACTCTTTTATTTTCTGCCACTCAAACTAAGTATGTGCTTTTAAGAAGAATTAAAATTTTAGTTTCCTAAAATCATATTATATTATGTACTCTAAAATTTTATTAGATCTGTAAGAGATTTAGCCAGGTTGAGTTTGAAAGACCCTATGTATGTGTCTGTTCACGAACATGCTGCACATACTACACCTGAAGGTCTTCAGCAAAGTTATGTTATTTGTCCTTTGGAAGATAAGATGTCAATGATATGGTCATTTATACGAAATCATTTGAAACAAAAGATTATTGTATTTTTCTCTAGTTGTAAGCAGGTATGATAGGCTTATTAATACATTTTATTGCAATGATAAATAGAAATGATAGTAGGATGAATTATTATCAGGTAAAATATGTATATGAAATATTTTGTCGATTGAGACCTGGCTTAAGCTTGTTAGCTCTCTATGGTACATTGCATCAACTCAGAAGAATGGAAATTTATGAAACTTTTTGTAGAAAAGAATTTGCAGTTTTATTTGCAACTGATATCGCTGCTCGTGGGTTAGGTAAAGAAGAAAACTTTTTTAAAGTAAATATTAAGAAAATTGATACAGTGATCATTTCTTATAATTAAAATGCATCTAGATTTTCCTGCTGTAAATTGGGTCGTACAAATGGATTGTCCTGAAGATGTAAATGCGTATATACATCGTGCTGGTAGAACTGCTAGATTTCAAAGAGGTGGTGAATCTCTCCTAGTTTTATTGCCTTCCGAGGTTAAAATGGTTGAAAAACTCAAAGAACGCAAAGTACCAATATCTATGATAAGGTAAATTAATTTCGTGATAACGACCATCAGACCGTGCCGGTAATCACCGTCACGCTGTGATTAAATCCAACATAAATTGTTTACCAATCAATAAAAAATAATGTACTCATCTAGAATTAATCCCAATAAATTACAATCCCAACAACGTAAAATGGAAGCTCTATTGGCACGAGATGTATCGCTGAAAGAAAGCGCTCAACGAGCATTTGTAACATATGTGAAATCAGTTTTTCTAATGAAAGATAAAGAAGTTTTCAATGTTCATGCATTAGATACTGATTCGTACGCGAGGTAACTAATTATGTCTAATCAATTAAAACCATGTATGAAAATATTACTTATTTTGCAATTGTTGCATTACTAGATCTTTAGGATTAGCTATACCGCCAAGAATTCGATTTCTTCAGAGAATGGAACAAAAACGACAATCATCTACTAAAAAAACTGAAGACAAAGAACAAATTATTAGAAATAATGAACTGTACAATGATATAAGGCAAGATCAAACTTCTAATCTCTCTGAGGACAATGAGTCTATAGAAAATGAAGAAATAATTACACATCAAAAAACAAAAGCAAATGATTTTGTATTCGGTAAGACAATTAATGTTGGCTCGTATAAAATTATTTTGTTACTCTGTAAAATTGTTTTATTATATTTATTTCTTACGAAGACGATAGCGATGACGATGAAATATTGACCGTGAAAAGAAAGAACATAGACATCGATGAAATATTACCAGTCGCCACCACTAACGACGAAAATTTAGGTTCAAGTAAAAAGAAGGCTGTTACGAAAGCTGCAGTGGCTAAGAAAATGCTTAAGAAAAAAATAATACCAAATAAGAAAATTACTTTCGATGATGAGGGAAAGGTTTGACATATATTTTCATTTTTAATTTAAATATGATATACGGCTGTATTAATCATATAATATTTCATACTTTAGGAACTATTAGATCCCACTAAAGTGAAGATCTCTGAGTTCGCTAGACAGTACGAAAATGAAGTAGATTCTGGTATCAATATAGAACTAGCCAAACAGATATTACGGGAAGAAGATAAGTTTGACAAACAACGCTTTAGACAGAAAATAAAAGAGAAACATAAAGAAGAAAAACGAAAATTGAAGGCTAGTAAGAAGAAAGTAGACAAAGATGAAATTAGCGATCAAGAAGACATAAATGATAATGTTGATAGTAATGAGAGCGACAGCGCGCATAGTGAACCAGATTTATCATGGTTACCAGATCCAGATAAAATCTACGGTAAGCAACAAGAAAATGACGAAGACGTTTCAGACATTGACGAATCAGGGGAAGATGAAGAGGAAAACAAAGTACATAGGTATGTGCTGAAAAAATTAGTACTAAACACATCATATCTAGAAAAATATACCTGTTTTATTTCTAATATTTTTTTGATCTTTGGTAATCATAGCTTTATTGTTTACAGACCCCCCAAGAAAAAACTGTTGACACAGGAGGAATATAACAAAATAAAGAAAAAACAAAAAACATTGCTCGAAATAAACAACACTCACTTACAAGCGGACGAGGAACTAGCATTACAACTTTTACAAAATTGAATCAAAATATATATTAATTGTTTGTTGAATAAGTCTTTAATCTTCTTTTTTAAGTGTCATAATACAATGTTATTAATTACTGATTGTTATCTACATACTCGTTCATGTAAACAATTTAGATTGTTCGATATTTAATACGATTAAAGAAATAATCAACACAATATAGATAAAGTGCGTTGATTTTATTTAACGTAAATTGAATTATTAGTTTAATGGATTCCTACTAATTGACATCTAATAAATGTGTATAAACATATATTCAATTACAAGATAATACCGTTTAATAAGATGTAAATTTAAAAAAAGAGTGGTTTACATCTCAAATGTATCCTATGAGGATAATTACAATATTTGAACAACTGTATATATCAATACTAATACTTACAATGTATATTTTACAAAGTTTAAATCTTAATATTTCATTTTGCGATATTGTCATATCAGATAAAATATTAATATATTACACGAGTTGAATTTGTCGTTTACTTAAAAATTAGTTTGCATAGTTTTGTGCAATTTACATACTTTTAAGAATTTTTTTAAATTAAAGTGTATAATGACTGCGGTTAATCACAGTGATAAAGTAATACTTTTTACCAACAAACAACCGAATATTCTTGCTAAAAAGCAAAATTTAGTATTATATACGTATATCTCTACAGATATTACCTAACAAAATATGTTTAGCCAGTCTTAATTAGTTGCTGTTTTAATATGTTTCATAATTGTGTCAACAACTTCTCTGCTTGTAGCTTGTCCACCAAGATCGCGAGTGTGAACACCTTGGTTAATAGTTTTATTAATTGCGTTCTGAATTAACGTAGCATGATGCTTATGTCCAAGATGACGTAACATATCAACAGCTGCATTCAACATTGCAATAGGATTAGCAATATTCTTTCCAGCAATAGCTGTACCAGTGTTGCGAGTACCAGGCTCAAATATTGTGTAGTGATCTCCAAAATTTTTTCCAGCTAATAAGCCAGCACCACCTAATAAACCACAGACCACATTTGATACAATTGATCCATAAAGATTGGTTGTTAATATAATGTCAAATTGATGCGGATTGGAAACCAGTTGCATACAAGTATTATCAATAATCATATTATTGTGGGTAATATCAGGATATTCTTTCGCAACATTTTTCGATGTTTCTAAAAATAACCCATCTGAGAGTTTCATTATATTTGCTTTGTGAACCGTGGTGACTTTTTTTCTTCCATTTCGTTTAGCATATTCAAATGCATATCTTGCAAGACGTTCAGAATTGCTTTTCGTAATGATTTTCATACTTTCTACAACACCTGATACGCTTTCATGCTCGAGCATGGCATATTCACCCTCTGTATTTTGTCTGACAATGACAATATCAATGTTCTTATGGCGAGAATTCACTCCTGGATATGACACACAGTGTAAAACGTTTACATAAAGATCCAGCTCATTTCGAAGTGCAACATTTCGAGAAATTACACCAGCTTCTGTACTACGTGTTTCAATATTTCCCTTTAATGCAACACCATTTCTACGAATTGATGTAATAGCAAAGTCTAAATCAACATTATCATCTGCATTAGGATCAATATCTACATCTTCAAAATCTACTGGTACACCTGCATAACTGAAAACCTGTAATAAGCACATGAAAAACTTATGTAAGACAATATGATAACTTCATTCTACTTATTCAATAAAAAACATTATTTGGATTTGATAAAACATTCAATGTCATATGTCAAACCAAATGTAACAAATAACACGATAAGGGAAGGTCATTATCTGAGTCGGAAATATTAATACTATGTTTATACCTCTTTCACATAGGTCATCAATTCTGGACCAATACCAGCACCAGGTAAAAGAGTAACTGTGTGTCGTCCACCGTAATGTGCTTTTGGTATGGGCATTACTTTCTTAATAGTTGGAGTTTTGTGTTGTATTTCGAATGCAGATAATGAAGCACATCGGTGAATTTGAGGTACAACATTTTTCGGACGTAAATATCTAACGACGGATCGAGCAGCCATCACGAATGTTATTCTATAAATTTCACGTAAAAGACAATTAAATTTGAATATTATATCATTTAATAACATAAACGAATCGATCAATTTTTAAGTACATACTACTACTTTGCAATTTCTATTTTAACAATACCTTGAAAGTCCTTGCCAACTCCAAATTTTCAGCGCCGTTTGAAGTACGGTCACTGTAGAACTGAAAATCAACGATAAAATTTTAAATAATAGCGCCATCTGGTAGAATATGCAGATACACTCTTTCTTAAAAAGGTAGTTCTGAAAAACATTTATTTTTTTAAAAAAGACTTCTTTACAATCTTAGAAAAATAATTCGAATTATTATTTGAGCGTTAAAATTGATATAACAACATGTCTTAAATCTATTTAATAAATAAAAAGTGTTAAAAAAAGTGTTTTCTCAAGAATGCTAAGATACGAAACTTTGAGTTTGAAGTGATTGATCACAACATTGAAAAGAAAACAGTGTTATAACAAATGTTTATTAGACTCTTGTATGATTTTAACAATTATCGTAAAGTTCTTTAAATTGATATTTATTTGTTCTTTTATTTGTAAATGTTAGTAATTCGATATATCACAAAAATAAACAAATTTTATTGTAAATTTCCTCAAAGTCATGACTTATGAGTAGATGTTGGCTAACTTGCTATTTTACGCGGCAACATGGTAACAAGACGCTAAAGCATTAGATTGCCTGCCGCCACAATTCCTGCCTGCGAAGTCGTAGAGCATTTTGTTGCTATCCTTTAAGTAAGTATTATAAACATTTATTATTTATAGTTAAACAACGGCAAAAGTAATCCTTATGAAAAGTATCAGATTCGATGTCGTTTCCTATTGAATTCGATCGTTCATTCAACAAATAAAATCTTTTGCTTGCTTCCCGGCTGGCGTAACGCCATTTTGCATTGTGTTCGTTTCATTTTTCGTTGTATCTTTGTAGCTGTTTTGCGTAGACTTATTAAATTTCCCGTTATTATGTCTCGTAATAATTTTTGTTGGTAATTCTTTTCTTTCACAAATGTATTATTTAAGTGTAACCTGTTATATTATCAGCAATTGATAGTTCTATATTTTGTCAATTTTTTTTGTTATTTAAATTAGTATCTACTATTTACTTTGCTTAATAATATAAAACTTAAATCAGCCTGTACATTATACAATGCATATTTACCTCCTTCATGATACCATAAACTGTATGTGCAGTATTATTCGAAACAAAATGAGTAAAGGGAAGGAATTGAGTCCTACAGTTGCAGAGGCACAAGAAGAATTCAGTGTTGAAAAAGTTTTGGACAGAAGAGTGGTTAAAGGAAAGGTATTAGAATTGAATGTCATAATTTAATCATAGAATTTTTTTTATTCAATATATTTATTACTATATTACTCTTAGGTTGAATACTTTCTAAAATGGAAAGGATATACTAATGATGATAACACATGGGAACCAGAAGAAAATCTAGATTGTCCAGATTTAATTGCACAGTTTGAAGAACAGCGAAAAAAGAAGGAAGCTGCTATAACTGCCAAGCGGCACGAGGATAAAGAACAAAAGAAACGAAAGAGCTCGAGCACTCCTACACCCATTCCAGCTAAGAAGAAACCAAACGAAGAAAAGAAAGCTGAAGGTAACTGTCCATTGTGACTTTTTACTTTTAAACAATATATATAATAAATGTATTAACTTGTAACCAAACATGAACAAAATTTTTAACTGATGTATTTTGATTTTTATTCAGGCTTTGACAGAAATTTAGAACCCGAACGAATTATTGGAGCAACAGATTCAAGTGGTGAACTTATGTTTTTAATGAAATGGAAGGGCACAGATGATGCAGATTTAGTCCCTGCTCGAATTGCCAATGAAAAATGTCCACAAATTGTGATAAAGTTCTACGAAGAACGTCTAACATGGCATAGTCCTACTCATGATGAAGAAAGCTCAGTAAAAGCTGATCCAGAGTAGCGTCTACCACCCTTTCGATACACGTACACTGCACGCTTTAGAATTTGCCGCATATAAAGAGAAATAGCGTGTACATAATGAGATTTCAATTCTTTATTGTTGCACAGTAATCATAATGAGGATATAACTTTTTTTTACAAACAGTGGCAACCTATACTTGAACAAATAGGCAAGTTTCATTTCATACCTGTCTCATTATTAATAAGATATAATTACCCTTATTACACACTTACATAAAAATGTGCACTTACAACTTCTTTTGCAACTGGTACATTTCTTTTAGAACTAGATACACATACAGCTTGCAATGTCTGTTCATAATATAAAATGGATGTATTTCTATGACTTTTTCTTTTATTTTAATATTCTCCATGTTACAATTGTCTTTCTAATATTTAGTAATTAAATCCAAATACATATGTATAAATTGTTTCAGTTGCCAAAGAAATTGCAAACAACTATTTCATTTAATCCTTTCACTATGACGGTCCGCTCCGTTAAAGCGTTTCTGCTAAACGGAACGCTAATTCAAAAAAGCCGTATTCAACAGCGTTATCAGCGTAAATCCAAACTAAAAGCAAAGTATGGATAGAAAATCGAAACTGCAAGTTCAGGGTAAATTTACAAAATTTTATGGCGAGCGACTATAGCCACCTGTCATAGCGAAAGGGTTAAATAGCACACGACAATGTACAATACGTACAGAAACATAAGCGAAAATGATTTATCAATAATTTTAAATAGTTTAAAAACTTTAATAATAAATAAAACTGACTTTCACATAAGGTAATACTGGTACCGTCGCAGAACACTGAATAATTAAAATAAAATCTGTTACTACATTTTTTAAATACATGAATATTTAAATAACAAAAAGTGTTAAGATTAGTTGTAATTAAGATTCTTTCTTTTCAAATGACTTGCTGTTACGATGATAGGTGTATACCTAATCAATTCATTTTTATTTGTGGGTTATTATATGAAAATAAAAAGATATTCTAGTATGTATATATATAAGTAATAATGTACGGTTTATTTTTTGTATAAAATTCCAATTAAAGTGACGAATTTCATTTTTATAATTTATAAAACACCTTGATTTCTTATGTTCGAAAAAAGCTTTTATTTTACAATTAACGTTTAATTTTTTTTGAGTTTTTCTTAACAATTCTAGGGCCTTTTCGTTTGTTTTTATTCAATGATCCTCTAAGTTTTTGATGACGCTTCGATTCCCAATCTATTTGCTTAAAACTTGCACCGTCTGCAGTACTATACATATCTGTACCGCCATGTTTATTTTTTTGTTTACTATGTTCTTCAAGCATTTCTGCAAATTTTTCTGCTGATACAAATGTATTACTATCGATTTCCTTTGACTTTTTACTCAGTTTATTCATAAACTGAATTGTTTTCTTTGTTTCTTTGTTCTTTTTATTGAATTTATTATCATCACCAAAAATATCTTCATTGTCGTTTGTGTTTTCATTAAAGTCTATATCACTTAAATCGTCATCTTCGTCTATATCAATGTCACTCAAATCTTGTAATTCTTCATCCGTATAATTTTCATCTGAATCATTCATACCATCAGAGTCATCACTTGCCACGCTACCGATACTGCCAACTTCTAAATTTTCGTCTTCTTCCTCAGCATCTGTAATAAATATCACATGTGTACTAGAAATTATTTCTATGTTAAAACAAATGAAAAATGAAGTCAGCATACCTTTCTTCTTGATTTTCTTAGTTTGAATATCAGCTGCAATATCCAGATCTTCAAACTCTTTGCCGTCCGTTAATCTATCCAACATGTCATCAAATTCTTCGCTATTAACACTTTCAACATCATCATCTTCTACCTTGGGTTTGTATTTCAACTCTTTCTTTTTTTTTAGATAACGATATAAAAACAATTCGTCGACGGGAATACGTTCTTCCTTTTCGTTAAGATATAAAACACTATCGACTGGAATACACCTGACACCTTTAGGTGTATATCCTGCACGTTGAGCCAAGGGATCGTTTTTCTTTTTTACTTTTTTATCTTCCAATTTTTTAGGATTTTTGAAAACGTAACGATCCAGAAAACGCATTAAGGTCAAATCTTCTAATGGATCTCCAGTGTAATTAATTGGTTTTCCTATACATGGAAATAATATATTTTATATACTTGAAAAGAAAAAAAATAATATAATTAGGTAAATTACCTTCAAGAATAGTATTTGCAAATAATGCAACACTTGGATGATAATGTTTAAACAATGCTATCAATTCGTTACTTAAACCTTTAGTTACTCCAGCATAAAGAGGATTACGATAGAAGGGATCGTATTTTTTTTGTTTACATGACTCAATTTGTACATCACCTTCCACTTTTATTTCAGATTTAATTTCATTTACATCAACTCCAGTTGTAACATTTGTTAATAAAATAGAGTCTTCCGAATTCCCACTAGGTTTCTCACATACATTAATAGTTTCTGATCTTGTAGAACTAGCTTCGGCTCCGGAATCTTCGTTTTCAATATTAATGCAAATCTGAGGTTTTAGCAACAAATCCTTTAATTCCTTACGCGTATGTAAAATTTTTGATATTACATATAAAATTGCACATGCCATATTTGCAGGGAAATATAATGCAATTTGTAAGCTTCTTTTAATAAACGCGTATAAACGTTGTATTTTATTATCTTTTTGAAGAACTCTGAACAATAAATTAAGAAAAAGTGCCCGTTTATTTGCTACACCAATTTGTGGGTCTAGTAATTTTCGATAAAATGTACAATAAAATCTATTTGACTGGACTTCATCTTTTCCTGTAATCTACATAAATAATATAAAAATGAAACATCAAAAATACAACAAACTTATCACAATGTATATACTTACTTGATATAATAAATTAAGTGCATTTAATGAAACATTAAATGATCCAATATGTACAACTTTGTACACAGAATCTATATGAGTGTGTAGTATATTTGATTCTATTTTTGCAAATGGGTATGCTCTATTTACACCAGTTAAAATTGCTCCCATCATTCTACTATCTGGTTCTCCTTTCTTTAAACAAGCTTTAAAAAATGCAAAATAAACTTCAATAAGATTGGAAGCAATTTTTTCGTCATCCTTACTCAAAAGAAATTGAGTTAATAAACAGATTGCATAATATTGAGCACGTTGTGCAACATTTTTTCTAAACAATAATTTTTCAACTTCTCTTAATACAACATTTTTCATGTTTGGATGTTCATATAATAACTTATTTACACAAAATATAACTTTAGATCCTATTTTACCACTTGGATCTCCTATTTTATTAATAATCAATTCCAATAGTTTATGTTCTTGTTCAGCATTTCCTATCAACAGGTCTGTTATCACAGACATTGCTGCTTCACGATTTGCATCCACTGTATCTGATGCAATAGTGGCTAAAGACATAACAAAACGTTCATATTGTTCACATAATTGGTCTTCAAAATACCAATGTGCCATTAATTTTTTTCTTGATGCATCTGTTGTAACTACTGTATCACCAGAGTCTGTTTTTTTAATATCATTTAAATTTTGCTCTTCAAATTTAAGTAGCTTGTATTGAGGGTGAAGTAGGTCAGATAAAAAGAGATCCTTTAAAGATTTTATTACCATATTGCATTGATTGTGCTTTGCTATTCGTACTTGATTAATGAGCATTGTAATTCTAGATAAATTGTATTTTGGATTGTCTTGTACTAATACAATAGCAGCTGCAACTTTGTCAGAGGTTGTGCCCTGTGTTAATGCTGTTTTTAACCATGCTGTCTCTGAATCGCGAGATTTTGATTCTTTCAATTGAAACACGGCAGTTTCTCCATCGTAATATCTTTTAGCTTCAGCTTTCAAGTTTGATATTTCAGTTTCAGACATAGAATGTTTACATGGTTCTTTTCCTTTAGGATATTCTTCATACCATTTTGAATTACCACCAGTGATGGCCTCACCTTTCAGTCCTTTGCTCATCTTTTTAAAAACTTAAATAATTATATAAATAATTGAATAACTTTTAAAGTTATACACATATGTATATGGTACAGAAATATAGACTCTTACCTCGTGGTTAACCTTAATAGCAAACATAACATACGTCGCATACACGTAGCGTCATCTACCACAAGACACACAAGAATGAGTAAGAACCTGAGAACCACTACGCTGTTGGTAAAGCGTCAGTGTCGCCATCAGGCGTAGCAAGGTGTAGGTTAATTGTTATCAATTACATCGTACTATACATCGAAATTTGTACAAAATTCATTTATTAATATAAAACTAAGGACTCGTGTTGATGACTTATATATTTCAAAGCTGTACAAACTTTGTGGTAATTTTATAAATGCATGTACAAAAATAACAATTTACGACCAAATTAATTCTAATAAGTTTATTACATATATTAAGCAGTTTCCATGCTTTTTCTTCTTTTCGACTTATTACCATCCGATGTATGTTTGAGCACCCTTTTTTTTGGAGAATTAGGACTAGAGCGATCGCTTTGTGAGTTTCCATTCTGAAGTGGTATACTTTTATTACGTTCACCGGGTAAACTAAAAGAACTAAAATTAAATAATTCGAAACCTTCGGACATCGCTTTTTCACGTAAAGTTCGTGCTTCCTTCTTTAGTAACTGTTTATCTTTCTGTTTATTCTTATTTTTCTTCTTTTTCTTCGATTCATCCTTCGTTAATGTGGGACTATCTGTATCGCTAAGACCATTTCCATTTTCTTGTACAATGACAGACTGTTCTATGTAGTTTGTTACGTCCATTGTTTCTCCATTAATCTTCGAAGTCTGTTTATTTTTATCTTTTTTCGTAGATCTGAGGCGAAAATAAAGAATAAATAGTTTATTATTGCAACGTAATAATGTTTAAATATTTTTAGAAATTCTCATATTCGTTACTTACACATTACATGAAACTCCAATTTGGGCTGCTAACCTATTACATGCTACTTTCGTATCTTTTTTAAGTGATGCATGAGTTCTGTATGTTACGAGCGCATTTCCAATAGCTTCCCAATTCCATGCTTTTGGTAAATGCTGAGTATAAACATTTCGTAACAACGACAAGAGAAGGTAAACATACCTTTGCCTGACTTCTTTACCTATTTCATTGCCATTTTTTAAAATAGGTTGTTCATTTTCAGCTTTATGTACATTACATAATTCTTGAAGTGTACTTATGGTATTTTTACATAACTTCTTTTCCATCTTCATTCTTATGTCAGAGTGTTTTGTATCTAAACGGACCAAACGGCCATTGTTATAAAATACTGTCAAAAAGTCAAGTGCATGTCCTCGACGAAAAGATCTGACAGTATTGTCAAAAGCAAAATCCACCTACAAAAATACGTGCACATTATTTAGAGATATATTTTTAATACAACTATGTTTTAGAATAAAACATTTAAAATGTACCAGTAAGGGAGCCAATTGCCAGTTACCCTCCCAATGTAATTGCAATATACTTTTGAATAACATAGGCGATAATACACAGTCTCTTCTTTTGAAGAAGGCAGTTAGACTTTCAACGTAAATTTTAACAATAGAATCAGTTGGTAAATCTGCATGTTGTGCACATCTTACAAGAAATATGCAACATTCTGCCAATTTATCACTCATCTCTTGATAAACTGATGTGGTTCGTTCCCCCTTTTCTATTAGAGCCTTGAAAGTATAAAATTATCAATTATATATCAAACATAAGATTACGTTGCGATTAATTACAACTACCTTTAATATCATTATTAATAAATCTTCATCGATATCATCTGTATCCTTGAATTTCTTTACTGCTGTTAGTTTTTTTAAGCATGATCGAATTCGATCTTGAAGAGGTTTTTGATGCTGGTCTTTTATGCAATACTCCAATAATGCAAAAAGAGGAAGTATCATATCGAGTATAACTGCCATTGATGGGCTACATTCTAAGTACGTTTCCAATAAATCGATAACTCGAATTCTAAAGTGTGTTAGAGCTTGCGCCGATTTTTCTTGTTTTTTAGATCGCGATTGGCGATTCTCGCGAAGAATTCTAAATGCCGCTGCTAATGATTCGTCTAGTCTTTTTCCATCCTCTTCATTAATCTTGTCCACGTCTATGTCATCTTCAGTTTGGACGATAGCATCGCCTAATGCTTGATGTACTGCCATCCGTAATCGATCAAGTACTGTTCCATCTTCATCCTCGTTCATTGATTCCTCATTCGAATCGGACTCATTATCATCCGACGAACTTTCCATATCATCATTAATAGATTCGTCATCTTCGCTATCAAAATTTGATCCCGTGTCTGGTGATTCATCTTCGTCAGGGTCATTTTTCGTTACAAGCGGTCCTTTTTCATTTCTTACATCCAGGACCTAAAATACAAATTTTCCAATAGAATATTCTTCAATATTAAAAATAAAATAATATTTACATACCGCCAAAATCTGATGTATAGCTGACGGTGTTACGTATGGACAAATATGTGGAAATACACATCCAACTAGTGATCGCAATAAATGGTCATTTTTAGAATAAAAAGACAACAATAAATCAACTACTACTTCAACCCATTCAGGCTCATCTTCATCGTCTCCGTCAATTTTTACTTTAGATTTTTTAGACTTTTTTAATAATCTTTCATAACAGCTTTGAAGTTCAAAGATAGCCATTATTGCCATTTGTGGGTCTGAAAATAATTGTAAACCCATATGTAAATTCATTGTATGAAATACTGGTACAGCCTCTGCCTTTTTCGAATTATTCTCTAACTTTTCAATTAAGTGTATCACTTTTTCCCAAGCAGTTTTTGCTTCATCTGATAATGGATTTCTTAATTTCAAAGTTTCATTTTTTAAATTGATATCTATGTAATGAACTAATTCGCTCAATATATTTCGCAGATCATTCAACTTTGGTAACTTGTGATCCAATGCATGATAAAATGCATCTTTAAGTTGTGCTGCAAAAAATTAATATACAATTAAAAAAAATAAGTAAAATTTAAGTAAAAAATATAAAACTTACGAGCTAAATCTACTCCGACATTTGCCATTTCACATAATCCATGAGTAAATAAGAATTTCAATTGAGATAATCTCCATTTTTGATCCATAAGAGTGGCAGAATGTCCCATGAATCTAGAAAGATACAATAACAAATTAAGTATGTATATTTAATTACACCACAGGAAAGATTTAATGTCAACTGAATTTTTTCAAAACATTAAATACCTTGTTAATAAGTGTGCAGCATAAATTCTCTCTGCATTAGTCCAAAATGATTCTGATTTCACATCTGATTTTTCCTTAGGAATTGTATTTTCAATAATATCTCTATATAGTTTTGACACTTTTTTAATACCTTCTAAATTCATACTTCCTGTAATGATTTGAATGACTTTTACACCTGTCTTTTTTTCTATCATTAAATCGCCTGGATATAATAATAATTTCTTTAATACAGCATACTGTGTTTTTGGCTTAGTATCACTACTACTTGTAATTGATACTAGCAATTGTAGGATTTCCTTGAAAGCAAGAAGTATTTCATCTTTCTCGTGTCTTTTACTATTAGAAAATTTTTTCAATATATATTGCATATAGTTCGGAGATAATAACAACGGAAGTACTGACTTATCCATAGTACTTGATAACAACAATTTGAGAAGTTTTACAGCCAAGTATTCGTCAATTCTCGATGGCTTTGTAAATTTCTGATCTATATATGTCCAAAAATCAATAATAAGCTCAGCTGTTAGATTTTCACAGAATAGTTTAAATACTGGATGATGACACAATACAACTTTAGGCAAATCCTGAACAACAATAATATAAAAGTTAAATTTGGAATGAAGAATTTTCTTAAATCATATAACGTTCTGTAGAGATGAACTTCTGACACTGGAATACACTTACCAGTAACACTTTCGTTATATCACCCATAGATTCTTTGGTGATAATATCTTCTGTACCAAAATGTTGTTTTGAAAATTTATAATTTACAAGTAAGGGACATTTGGCCTTTATTATTAATAAAATATAAAATGTATCTATGGTTTGCTCCTTCCATGGTTTACCAAATTCTTTTTCAACAATTGGCCAAACCAATCTTTCAACATTATCAATGTCAATTTCATTTATAAATTCAACAAAAAACGATGTAGCAGGAAATGATAAATAACTACGCTGTCTTCCTCTATTTATAAGATCCTGTATGATTTGCATTTGTATTTCAGTAGTACTTTTACAAAGCACTTTAGATCGTATTAATGCTCCATATACTAATATACGTCCCATGTAAATATCAGCATTTTCCTAAAATAGCATTATTTAATAAATTACATGTGCAATGAGACAAGGTACATGTCTTATAAATGTAACATAATGTATATGTGCCCATAATATACCATTATGTCAAAGTAACTGGTTTACTTACACCCTTATTGTTACTATTTACTGGATGCAGTTCGCTATCAATTATAGACAAAAGCTCTTCTACCGATATTTCAGAATGCATTTTTAAAAATACTGTCAAAGTAGTATAGAATCCTATCCGAGAAGATGTTTTTGATGCACCTAATCCTCGGATAAGTCTTTTTATCGCATATTTAAACTCTTTATTGCCATTCTGTTCCTAAAACATTATTATATGTTAATTAGTTCGTTTATAAAAAAAAACCTATAAAGATACTCACGCTACACAAGAACTGGTAAATTATAGGTTACGTTTAAATAAATACTTACCGAACTTTGTTCAAGTAAATACTTTAATAGTTCAATTCCACCAACTATCCTATCAGATTCAGTTTCATTTCTGAGTTTTGTAAAGTAATCAAGAATTGTACAATCCATTTTATTCGTTTCTTTAATTTTAAAGTCATTTGAAACCACCTCTACCATGTGCATACTCTCGTCTGCCATCTTGGTTCGTTTTAACTATAAACTACGCTAATCTAATGACTACCTGAATTAAAAACATAATACGAGAACAAACGAACAATTTAATATTTTAATAATCTTCTAATAATATAATTATCCCGACAAATCAAATAATGAATATGATACAAAATCAAAAGTGAACGTCTTATTTTTGTATTGCGTAGACTGTCAATCGTTTTCTTTAAAAATTTCATATTTTAATATACAAATTTTCGAATTATTATCGATAGAAATTTTTAGTAGTATTGTACAATACGAATGTGTAAGAGTAAGTTATTTTCCAATAGTGCGTAATCGTAATCAAATTGTTTAAAAATTCGTGGTATAAACGGTAGTAATTGTTGTGTTCCTCTAACTGAAAATTCGCGAACATTTAATAGAGTATTATCGAAGGGCATTTACACGATTGGACAAATTTGCGTGCTTTATGATTTGAGAGATTCTTTGATGGTCAGGAAAGTGCCATCTTGAACATAGTAACTCGCTCGACCCGCGCGGTCCCGGTCAGTTTCGTGCATCCAATATGGCTGGTCGAGGTGGTTATGAAGATTCAAGGCAAGTATAGACTGCAATTTTCTTTGTGTACAGCAGTCATTGGGATTTTCTGAAATAGTGCGGCCGTGGTATTTAATCAGTGCACCAAGTCGATAAAGAAATGCTCTATTTTTTCGATAATCTTACGATTTTAAGGTTAAACTAGTTTCGATTAGAGTGTAGCGCAGCACCTTGCAGATATGGTGTCTCCGACACGCGGCTTTATTTTGGCCGGCCAAATACTGATATATTTTATTCGCAGTACTATTAATCGAAACGTTATCTTACTGTTTGTGTATTTTTATACCATTTGCCTGCTCGCAAACATTAGCGGATTCAACGTGGAAATATAATTGAACGTATGTTATTCGTCAAAATTGTGCTTAAAAAATTTACATCTAAATAAATTTTAAAAATGTACATTCCTAAAATTGAATTCCAATTATAAGTGTATTTTACAAGTGCAAAAATAAAAGTTGTTCTGTTTCAACTGAATTAAATAACACCGATTGATTTGGGTGCTGAAAGTGTTGAAATTATTTAACGTCTTCTTCATTGTACTATTGCTAAGAACATTTGTATATCATCTATCTTTTTACAAACATTAATTAACGCAACATGCAAATAGAATTGAATTTATATTGTTTATCAAACTTGTTTAGAAAATTCAGCACATTAAATAATATTAATATATTCAAATACTAAGAGTACTTAAAAGGTTTAATGTTCTTTATAGTGTTTTGTTAGATATAGGTACAAAATGATTGTAAAGTATATACTGTGTATATACTTTGTATAATATATTTTATATAAAGTAATTTGATATATAGTATAGCTTTTTAAAAATCAATGAGAACAATTTATCGATGATTTGTAATTTGTATACAGAGATTATGGAGGTGGATACCGCAGTAGTAACAGAAAGCCACTGCCAACAGAACCACCTTATACTGCATATGTGGGAAATTTGCCAGATGGAATTGTTCAAGGAGATGTTGATTTGATCTTTGATAAACTTAATGTTAAAGGAATCAGATTGGTTAAAGATAAGGAAACAGATAGGTTTGTGCCATAATCTTGTTTGTATTGCGATTAAGTTTTATCATGATATCAATTAAAATTTAAGATCTTACTACTATGAATAATCAATTGTACTATATATGATAAAGTTTCTCTTTTTCTTATAGGTTTAAGGGTTTCTGTTATGTCGAATTTGAATATTTAGCAGACTTAGAGGCTGCATTGCAAATGAATGGAGCAATAGAAGTAAATAATTGTATGCTTAAAATAGATGTAGCAGAGGGAAAAAGAAATGATCGAGGAGGTGGTTTCGACAGGAGAGGTCGTGGTAGTGGAGGTGGTGGTGGTGGCAGTGGAGGCTACAGAAGTAGAGATGGTGGCCGTGGTGGATACAATGATGATTACGGTAAAAATATATTTTTTAATTATTTTTATATATATAAAAAATAATTTGTAATGGCTTAAACATAAATACAGATAAGCAGATATATTCTTATAGTATATAAAAAATTTACAGGAGGTTATAGTGACAGAGGTCAACATGGTGGCAGGCAAGGTAGTACGTGGGACACGAGGGGTAATCGTGGCAGTTATCATCAGTTCGATGATGATGCAGGTGGCGGAAGTCGAGACTGGGCGCGTAATGCAGCGCCTAAAACGTATGGTAATAAACCACCACCACCTCGCGGAATTGGACCTGAGCGAAAACCACTTCCCGAGGAAGATTCTAACAAATCTCCACCTCCAGGTTTGTTCATACATAAATGTTGTATTAAGATTAATGTGTTTAAAACGTTATAAATTACTATAACTTTCTTTTCAAAATAGAGGCACGTGGGAGGAAACGTCTGGTACTAGCACCAAGGACAGTAAAAGATCCAGTAAATGCAATTGCTGAATCAAGTAAATCAAGTTCAATATACGGTGGTGCAAAACCTCGGGAGGAGAAACTTAAAAACGAAGAGAAGTAAAATTATTATTATGATAAACAGTTTCTGATTCCCTAAATTGCAAGGAAAGGAACTACCCCAACAAAAAAAATTTGGAAACCAATTCCGAGATTCCTTAGCCTCTTCAAACACAATGGGAAGAATCTCTTCAAAGATGAAAAAATATAACAATAATTTTTATTTACCCCTAAGGGGGAGTCTTCCCCAAAAGTATATAAAGACGAAAGGTGATTTAACGAGATTTTTAAGTTCCACGCATTTGGCATTTTTAATGAAAAATAAAATTTTCTTGTCTAATGCCCTCTCTATTTACATTAACTTCGTAGTTACAAAAATGTAATAGTAAATTGGGATTTTTGAGTAAAAATTGTGTATGCAATACGTAATTTAATAATGATGGTATATATATATATATATATATATATATATATGTGTGCAACATATATATTATCATAATTGTGAGATGATACAGAAAGTACATTTTAATGTTTATGTCAATTTCATGTTGGGTTTTGTATCACTTTGTAATGATATTGAGGGTATGTGTACAAATTATTAAAAATATATACTGTCATTGCACGTGTATTTGGTCCCGTGCAAACCGCATCTTCTAAAATTGTACTCTAGAGTAATCCCCATTTCAACGAGTGCAAAATATTATCCCTATTATCATTTCCTTCCTTACAACTTTTACGTTTAACCTTAATACCGATCATTGTATGTGCTTGTTAAAATGATTCGTGAATGATTGTTTAATAGGCAATGTCGCATTTGATTCAAAGTATTAAACAATTGTTTACGCACTCGCGAAATAACAAACAGTTACGAGATATAAAATATTTAAGTGATTGGAAAATGTATACATCACTGAATGGTATGAAGATAATGTGTCGATCACTATACATTAATATTGTGTAACGAATTAATTAACTATGCTAGTAATATCGATCATTTAAAAGAGATATCGATGGTTATGAGATAATAAACAAAGGAAAACTTGAAATAATGAAAAATATTATGTAAAACTATGCTTGTATATGATATTATTTCCTGAATAAAGTAGTCGTTTGCCTCGTATTCGTGTAATGCATTGTTAGAAAATAAGGAGATAATGGCGATAAAATATATGTGTAATTTGAATTGTGAACGATGTAATATTCTTAACATATTTTGTATATCTTAAATATATTTAGATTGTTTTATTTGGAGAATTTTTTTGCTAAATTTTATTTTAGATTCTTACATATTTAGACAAAAAGAACAATAAAATAAATTACATCGAGCAGTTATAATTTAATATAGCAATAATACGTGAAAAGAAAAGATAGAGCAAAGTTAAAATAGTCATCGTATTTTTTGTGGGGCAACAAAGGTATTTCAGTTGCCACGCCTATTGGGGATTATCCCCTTTCTCTCCCCTCCTTATACAGATATACAGTAACGTTTCCTGTACAGTCGGTGCAATATCTTTGTTTCATATTTCGATGAAGTTACAATTAAATCGTCTGAATTGTTAATTATGAATTTACGCAAACAGAAAAGTGATGGTGATTAAGTATAAGACTTTTAAGTACAATAACCTATTCTCCGTTTTGTTCATCATACACGCTTTCGGTATGGTTGTGATATCGCGTTCTGTCACATTACGGCGCTTGTTCGTCTAAAATTTAGTTTCGGATTGTTCTTCATAATAGTTGAAAACGCCACGCAATCAAAGACTTCTTCTTCCCGTTAAATTGTATTATAACAAAAAAATGTCTACCGAAAGCGTAAAAACGGTAGGTACCTTAAATATACAGAATTCATTATATCTTTTGTTATACAAGAATGTTTATATTACTTGTAAGAAACTGCATTAAGTAGTGATTATGATTTCATTAATATTATTTATTTTATTTTTAATAGTTTGCTAGCCTCGAGACTCCTGGATATGTAGGATTTGCAAATTTACCTAATCAGGTACATAGAAAATCAGTAAAAAAAGGATTTGAATTTACTTTGATGGTTGTTGGAGAATCAGGTCTTGGAAAATCCACATTAGTAAATAGTTTGTTCCTTACCGATTTATATCCAGAACGTGTTATTCCTGATGCAATAGGTAAATTTTATTTTGTTTATAAATTTTTATATATATTTGTATCTTATGTGTTATAATTGACGTACTCTTATTGTTTGAGTAGAAAAAACTAATCAAACTGTGAAACTTGATGCTTCTACTGTGGAGATTGAAGAAAGAGGTGTCAAACTTAGGTTGACTGTTGTTGATACCCCTGGTTATGGAGATGCAATTGATAATACAGACAGTTTTAGAGCTATTATACAATATATAGATGATCAGTTTGAAAGATTTTTACGAGATGAAAGTGGTTTAAATAGAAGAAATATAGTAGATAACAGAATACATTGTTGCTTCTATTTTATTTCTCCATTTGGGCATGGGTAAGATGTGTTAATTATAATTTTATTTTATTCAATAATTATGAAAATATTAACTTTTATTTGTCGTTTTAATTTTTATTAGATTGAAACCTTTGGATATAGAATTCATGAAACAACTACATAATAAGGTTAATATCGTGCCAGTAATTGCAAAGGCTGATGTACTTACAAAAAAAGAAGTACTTCGGTTAAAAAAACGAGTTATGGAAGAAATTGAAGGCAGTGGTATAAAAATCTATCCTTTACCAGATTGTGATAGCGACGAAGATGAAGATTATAAAGAGCAAGTTAGACAGTTGAAAGAAGCTGTTCCATTTGCAGTATGTGGAGCAAATACATTGCTAGAAGTAAAAGGACGAAAAGTCCGCGGACGATTGTATCCATGGGGTGTGGTAGAAGTTGAAAATCCTGATCATTGTGATTTTATAAAGCTAAGAACAATGTTAATGTATGTGATGTTTTTCCAAAACGTTAACAAATTGAAATAAGTATTATCATTTATTTTTATGTCTTTGTAGCACCCACATGCAGGATTTACAAGAAGTAACGCAAGAGGTGCACTATGAAAATTATCGCAGTGAAAGATTAGCAAAAGGAGCTCCCGTACCCCCTCGCAGACAAACGTAACTATAATAATATAATTTTTTTAAACATAATAGAAGCATATTTATTAATTCATTGAAACTTTTTACCAACAGTATAGTGGAATCTGAAAAATCTAATACAGTATCAGAAAAAGATCGTATTTTGCAAGAAAAGGAAGCAGAATTACGACGTATGCAAGAACTTTTAGCAGTAATGCAGGCGCAAATGCAACAACAGCAACCTTAATTAAATATGATTTATGCACAAATGCGTGAAAAGACTCGAATTCTTCGCCATTGCAGGTGCCAAGAAGATATATTAATTGTTTCATATGATATTCATATATAATTTTGAAAACAGTGCATAATCCGTAAGAATTTTTTTCTGACGAACGTATTTATCGAAGATACGTTCTTTTACTCAGTATTTTTTTGTTAATCAAATCATAAATAATATTGTTCATATTATAGTGTCTTAAAAGAATCAAAGAATAAGACGACAAATTAAAAGTACAGGAAACGATACATAATATAAAATGACGATAGTTTGACAAACAATATTAATGTATGATCATATAACATAGAAACGTTCGATAAGTGCCTTGCGTATTCCTTTTTAATAGAACAATTTACAACTTTCATTATTAAAATACAATTATCAAACATGATAACCATTTTATAAAAACAAATATATGTAACAAATTGTTATAAATATTATATATTTCTTAACAAATATAGTACAATTCGTATTTGGTAAATCATTGTGGTAGTTACATTATACTCGCATAAAACGAATGTGTTACAAAATATGCACAATCTCTTAAATATTGTATTAACTAGCATTATATGAAAAATTTCATATCAAATTAAACTAGGAGTGTAGAACCTAAAAATATTTCATCTAATTGAAAAATCTATAGATACATATAGTAACTATAGTATGTGTACTTTGCAAGCCATATCTTCCAATGTTCCACGTATATTTTTTTAAGTGAAACAAAAAGACATTAAGACTGTTTCAAATCAAACTGCCACTTAATCACTCAGAATACATGTGATAGGCAGTGTTGCATACAAAATAATTTTTGCAATATTTAAAGTATTATTTTTTATTTTGAAACAGCATGTATTTTATTTTTACTTAACATTAAATAATATTAGTCGTTTATATCACTTCACGATTTATGTCATAAAAATGTAGGTAATACGAAAAATACATTACTTTTAAAGAATGGAAAGGTGTGTGGAGACATTTAAGTAATGTAAGCAAAGCAAATATGAGTGTATTATGTGAATTTATTTTACTTCTTAACTATTGTACTTATTTATATGCATTTTTGTATTAAGAACATTTTCGTACTTTTGTATGTATTTTCCTCGAAATACACTAAGCGTACGTTTTATATCTTTTTATACAAATATATTTACTATAATTTGTACAATTAATTGCCTAAAAATTATGATTCATATAGTAGTCTATCGCAGTTGAAAATGCTGCAAAGCCTGCTGCTCCAACCAAACTTGCTTTTACACCAGCTATAACATGAAATTATTATTGATTCAAAACTTTGTACACTTTAACATCATGTTTAAATTTTACATGTGATATAGTAGTACCTCTTAATCCTAGTATTCCACCTGTGAAGCCACCAGCATATGCAGTATTCTTCCAATCATTTTTACCTCTATACTAAAATAAAATTGTAAGATGTGGAAATACATGTATGAATGTGAATTAAAATACAAATTTTGTATTCAATTTATAAAAGCATTACCGATTCTATTGTACATTCAATTGCTGCAAACACACAACCAACTACAGCAAAGTTTTTTGCATAACTTGACATTGAAGTTTTCATTTCTCTGATTGTTTCACGAACAGTTAGTTGTTTTTCAAGAGTGGCTACATTTGGATTTACACTAGCTGAAAACAAACCTATGGCAGCTCCAAGACCATATCCTAAAAATATAAATCTTTCATATTATATTGAGACAAACAAAAAATGCCTTATACATTACAGTACAAACATACCTATACAGCAACTACAAAAGCTTTTAAAAGTACAGCTTTCTATTATACTTTCTATGCGTTTCTCTTCATTGGTTTTAATTTGCACAGGACCTACATTTCTCGGAATTATAATATTTTCTCTAAATCTTTGTTGGTTGCCAACAAGATAAACAGTTAATTGGTCCCAATAGGCATTATTCGTAAATACTTTTTTTTCGCTTTCTTCTTGCGGTATTGGTTTCGATGAATCGGTAGCAGACATTTTTAATTAATTACTTTTTAATTTTAATAAAGAGATACATCCACTTCAATGTTTGTTTTAAATGTTTCGGTTAATTACATCCAATTTCTTCGGATTGTGTAATACAGTGATCGCACCTTCATACAAGTTATTCTATAGACTAATAATTAAAAAAATTATTACTTTCACATTATAAAAGTGTGTACATGTAAGGGAAAAGGAATGAAAAGAATAAATACTAACAATTCAATCAATTATTAATATATTCTTGACATATTTTTACTGTAACCTAAGACTAAAAGATTGTATTTAGTTATTACAGATTAAAATGTACTAAAAGTTAGTCTTATAATTTCCAATATTAAATAATATTTTTATGTGAATACAAATAATAGTGTCATTTAAAAAAGAAAACAATATACGTTTATTTTCTTTTACAAATAAAAATATACAGTTTCATCACCATTCGTTACAAAGAGGTCACCGCTCGCTTAGCCGCTCAGCTTTTAATACTAGTGGCGCCATCGGTGGCAAAACGCCCAAGTTTGTAGGGAAAATAGTTTCCACTGTTTCTATAAGATGGCGCCATCGATACATTTTAATTAATTTTAGTTTATAAATGTATAATTAATCGATTCTTTGTTGTATAACTCTTCAATATAGTGCTAATACGTCTAATTTATCATTCATATGAATGATTACTTAATTCAGGAATAATTATCGACACTTTAGTTAGTGGCGTCATCTAGCAAAAACAGTGGGAACAATTATCCCTACAAACTTGGGCGTTTTCCCACCGATGGCGCCACTAGTATTAGTACTAGTATAATATAGTTCATTTTGTACAGTACTTTTTAGAATGGGGCTTTATCATCCAATGGCGCCAATGTCTGATCGTTATGATAGGTTATTGTACACGTGACAGTTAGTCAATGTTAATATTAAATAAGAAAATTTCTATTTTGTTAAATCAACTAATTAGCAAGATAGTAACGTGATAATACAATCGAGTGCTTTATGTGACATATTGTAATTATGGAAGGAAAAACTCAAATTGAAGAGGATAACGAAGATGGTTAAAAATTTATTGTTTAATTTTGTTCATAACAAATATTTAAATTTCAATGAAAACGAAATGAAACTTAATATACGATATTTTCAGAAGAAGATAATGTTGTCGCCCTTAAAAATAGAGTTCCATTATTGAAGGATTTATTTCGTGTCCATGGAAAAGTCGGGGAAGGAACTTTCAGTTCTGTGTTCTTAGCTACGTTAAAATCTTCGGATGGTACGAAAAAGTTTGCGTTAAAACATTTAGTTCCTACTCGTCATCCTGAAAAGATTGAACGTGAATTGCAGTGTATGCAACAGATAGGGTAATAGATATATTAGATTTTGATTACAATTGAACGAATAATGTATAGAAAAGTGTATAAAAAAATGATAAACAAAATTTTGTTTCAGTGGAAAGGATTATGTGGTTGGATTAGAATTGTGTTTACGAAGTTTTGAGACAGTAGTATTTGTAATGCCATATATGAGACACGATAAATTTTCGGTATATTTTCATAGACATTTTAATTAGATTAATATACAGTGAGTCCTTCAGTGTGTACTTATATATATATATTCACATATAAATTAAGGCTTTTTCCCTGTAAAATTTCATGTATATATAACTTACGTTATGTTGTAAGCTATAGAACAAATTAACAGAATAAGTTAAGGATTCACTGTAATTCCAAGTAAATGTTTTGGCTTCTTAATTTTCCATTGACAATTTTAAATAGGATTATGTACAAAATATGACTCTTCAAGAAACAAAAGATTATATGATAGCATTATTGACTGCATTGCGAAGAGTTCATCAATTTAAGATTATACATAGAGATGTTAAGCCTAGTAATTTTTTATATGATCGGTGCAATAAAAGGTGAATGCATGTAAATTATTTTTATAGGAAGCTGTTTTAATAAATTAATATATTGGTTCCTTATTTGTAATAGATACTTGTTGGTAGACTTTGGATTAGCACAAGAATACATAGCTGAAGATAAGTCTAATAAACTTAAGTCCATTAATTTTGAAACCCAATCTGTCAAGCGGAAAAGATCAGATGAAGTGAAGTATTCATTATTTAGAGTAGTAATGGATGGTGGTACATCTGTGAAGAATTTTAGTACTATTTTTACAAAATATTTTTTCAGAATAGTTTAAACCTTTCTCTTAGCTCGAGAAAAAAGGTTATAGGAGAAAAATGTTATTGTTTTGGAAAACCAAAAGTATGTTCACTGTGCACATCTAGACCAGAACAGATAGCTCCAAGAGCTGGCACACCAGGATTTCGTGCACCTGAAGTTTTATTAAAACACCCTTCACAAACACCAGCAATTGATATTTGGGCAAGTGGGGTAATGATGCTGTGCATCCTCAGTGGCACCCAACCATTTTTTCATTCTCCAGATGATTGTACAGCTTTGGCAGAAATAACTACTATATTTGGGTCTAATAAAATGCAACAATGTGCACACAAATTAGGTATTAAATTTATATTTTTTTTTTAAATTTAATTTTTATTGCGAATCATTTTGTTTGTTCACTTTCATTGTATTTATTTTTCATGTTTCAAATATTTTCTTTGGAAAATCAGGAAAAAAAATTATCTTTAATGAAGATATACCAGGGGTTGATATTGTGTCTTTATGTCAGAAGTTACAAAAGAGAAATAAGGGTTTATTAGATAATTGTAAAGATCATAGGATGTACGAAAAGGTATTTTGATTTATTATTTATTTATTTATAATCATGATTAAAAATTTAATTTTCATTTTTAACATTTTTATATAGCAGCACTTATAATTTAGTATTCAAGAATATTTGTTATATATTTTAAGGCATCTACGGACGTTCAGTTTCCGAAAGAAGCTTATCACTTGTTACTAAGGTTGTTGGATTTAAATCATAAAACACGTCTTACAGCAGAGCAAGCTTTAGATCATCCATTTTTAAAGTTATAACCTATATTCTTAATAATCTTAACTGTTACTTATTGTATGTATAAGGTTTATAAAATAAATAATTGAAGTTTTTAAACAGTAAATAAATAATTTTATTGGCAACAATAGTATATAATATCAAACTGTTAATAAATGCAATACTTTTGATTTGACTATTTCTAAAAAAAGTTCGTAAGTATCAATGTTCTTTATTCCATTATCTATATAAATAAAATTTGTTATAAAAGATCAGACTGACATATCTTTTAAGGCACTTCATGCTGTTATGAAATATAATATCATTATACATTTCATGCTGTATTTATGGTTTTCATAATTAATTATACATTGCATTGTTTATTCAACATTTTCCAAATTATTTGTAGTTTGTGTTGTTTGTTCTTCATTTGCACTCTTAATAAGTTTCCATTCTGATGCAACTTTTAATGCATCAGATGCTATTTCTTTTACTTTTTTATTTTCCACTGTATCACTCTTTGTTAAAGCCATTAAAATTTCCATTACGTCGGTTTCAATTAGTTTAGCTGCAATTTCTTTCGTGCTTTTGATCATATTTGAAACAATTACAACTCCTCTGTGTTGCAAATCAGGATTTGGATTCGCAAGTAAAAACCGGAGTGCGTCCAACCAATCTTTTGCATCGAATATTTTCATACACGATTTTTTGCTAACCGATGTCAACATAGCTAAAGCTCCTGCTGCCGCCATACTTGTATCTGTATCCTCATCTTCGCAAAGAATTACTAAATATTTAACTCTGTCGTTTTCTTCCTCGTAAAATTTTACAGTATCTTCGCACATTATTAAATTATTCACTACTTGAACGGACGCACGTCTTAACAGGTCGTGATCTTCAAACATATAAGCCTCAACTTTTTGAAAGCCTCCTTCTTTCAGAATTCGTTTTCTAATGTTATCGTTAATACCTGCTAAATTGCACAAAGCCATCAAGGCTTCAAAATTTTCAAGCGCGGAACATTCGGGATTTAAAAGATTTATGAATGGACGAACTACTTCCATTATCCTTTGTCCAGGGAATGCAACTTCTGGATTTATTGTAATTCCTAAACGAGCGAGAGCTTGCGATGCTTGTTTTTTTCCTTTGTCTGTTCCATCTAAAGCCAATGGTAAAAGGGCCTTTGCTCCACCTTGTTGAACAACAATTCCTCTTACTTCTTGTTGGCTACAAATTGCATTGAAAACGCGTGCTATTAATTCTTTGCTGTTTTGACTTTCAGTTTTAGAGAGACTAACTAAGGCGCTCGTAACACCAGCTTTAGCCAAAGAAATCAATCTCTTGTTTACGAAGTCTGCGTCATCAAGTTCATGTTCTTCGGGTATATGATGTTTAGCAAATTTAGCTAATTCTACCATCTCTGGTATCATTTCTTGTTTATCATAAGCATTACACAAATTTACTAATGTTGTAACAACACCGTAGATTACAGATTGGTCTCCAGTTTTAGCAAGTTCTATCATTGCTTGAATTGCTTCACGATCTTCAATTAATTTTTCTTTAACTTCCGCATCAAAAGTAAGATACGATAATCCTTCTACTGCCCATTTTCTCATATCCTTCTGTTTTTTAGGATTAATTAGGAATCTCCTACAAGCTTCTGCTAATCTTTTTGTTGCACCATCGGCAAATGGTCTTATAGTTGCATCCGTACCACCCGAACTTCCTAATTTACATAACCCTACCAAAGCGCGTACTTTGATAGAATCGTCTTTAGATTGATATAATTTTTTTAAGATATTCGCGCCCTGATTTATAATTGCGATGGCCTTGTCTTTTTTGGATGCAGCAGCAACAATACACTCGCAAGCAACTTTTTGTTGCAATAGATCATCTGTGCCAGCCATAACAAGTATCATTTCCAAGATACCTTCTCTAGCGATTATCGTATTTCCAACATCCAATGGACCGAGCAATAAAGTTGTTATTGCAACTACAACACGAACCTATGTAAAAAAGAATAAATAATACATTAGAAATGTTGTGTTTCTCGTAATAAACTTTCCATAAAATGTAAAATATGTATATTGCTTACCTTAGATTCCATATCTGGTGTAAGTAATTTATCTTTAATGTATTCATTGATAGCATCACTGAACCTTTCTTTTGCTGCATCATAATACATATTTTCATAAATTCTTGCTAGACATACACTGGTCACAGTTCTAGTAGATGATGTAATATTCATTGAAGATTCATACTTATATTCTTCAAGTTCACTTGCTACCTCCATTAAACGTTGTAAGCCGCGAAGTTCAACTAAACGTTCTGCCCAATTTAGAGCAGTATAATGAATATTACGCATAATAAGTTCTATAATTGCATCTCTAGCTATTCCAGAGATAGTTCTACTTGTTACACTGTATAAAAGACAGGATAAAATAGTATCAATTTCTTTGTGGTATTTGTCACATAATTCTTTTTTTGGTTTCGAATCTGGTTTATTATCCATCCCACTATAAGTATTAAGTATAGTCTGCAACATAATATCAAATTTAAATACACGTATTTTAATATGACACCAATAACCTTTTATATTTTTTAAATGTACAAACCTGTAAGCAATATTGAGCAGCATTTACTCTTTCTGTAACTTTGCTGTTGATCATTTCTAAACACCAAGGTATACCAATATCTTGCAGAATACTTTTAGTCCGACTAATGTTATCTTTACACAATTCTGCAATGATCCTAATTGCATCTGTTATTATTTCTTCATTCTTTTCAAGCTTTAGAATTTTCATGATTTTAGAAACAATTCCCTCCTTATACATCACTTCTGCTCCTGCTCTTTCCCACACAAGAACAAGTAAATTATTCATTGCTGTTTTACGCTTTTCACTATCTCCTTCCATTTGAAAAGCAATATCCATCATTTGCGATACCTTCAAAAGTATATAACAGCTATTATAACAATATAATTGAACCATCATGTTACATAATTAATGTTACAGTACAAACCTTGGCACTGACACGAGAATTTTGTTTGTATCTTTCTTGTACAATTTCATGTAATCGTGCAGCAATGGGTTGTATAGCTTTGTTGCCAGGATCTGCTGAAATAATATATCTTGCATCTCGATAAGCTTCTTCAAATCTTTCTAATGCTTCCAATGCTTGACATCTGCGAAATAATGCTTTGGGATCATTCTGACATATTTTAAGAGCTTCATCGCAGTCCATAACAGCTTTGTTATATTCTTTCTGTTTCAAGTATGCAGCAGCACGATTCTTATAATATACAGCTTTTTCAGAATTGTCTTCATCTGTGAGCTTCAAGGCATTCGTATAACAACTCAAAGCTTCTGACCAATTCTCTTTATTGAACTCCTGATTACCCTTCTCTTTCCATTCGTGTGCAGTCAAAGTTGTTTTTGTCATGATAGAAGATGTTTTAACTGAAACATTAGTTTAACAAGATTCTTAACAAAAATTTTCATTAAATGAAGAACCACTGTATTAACTGTAGCACACAATGAATCAATGTTGACTTAAAACTTAAATGGACAAAACAATAACGCACATGAGAACATTAAGAATGTGAACAATATTAATGTAATACGTACTAGAAAATAGATGGATTTGTCAATGAATCAGAGATACACCCGTCAAACGTTTGATTACCGGTAACACTTTCGAAAGTCTACAATGCAATACTGTGGCCGGTACAGCTTCTGCATCGCGTTAAAAAGGATTCAGAACTGTCCAGATGTTACTAGATTGTTTCAAGTTTATTTTAAACTGTGTTCGCCCCACGATTCGAACGAAATTAAATGTGCCAGATTAAAAATAGATTTCATAGACACTATTAGTAGTGTTATCTTCCTGCCTCTATTCTAACCCAGAGTTTCTCAAATTATCGACAGTGTGACAGTTTTCTCTGTATCTAATAAAGACTTCATAATGTTATTTAAGAGGAAAAATTAATTCCACTCTGATAGGTTCGCCAAAAATTGTATTTTATTACGGTCTGTCAAAAACTTTATTGAGGAAATTCGTGGGAAGGTGTAGTTTGAGAACCACTGTTCTAATCATATTAATTTGATGTGCTATATTAAGTCTTTATTAATAGTATTTAATTACAACATATTTATATATATTTAACAGAGTTTATTTATATCATCTCATATTTTCTATTTTTAAATTATGACATAGCTGAAACGAGAAAATTCTGAAGGAGAGGTTATAATGAGGGAATTTTACGTACAGTTTACTTGGAGAAATTTCGTGTAACACCGCCGCGATTTTTAAAAAACTCGTATTACGGATGGAATTCTTAATGAAAATGAATTATAAAACAAGCAAAATAAGCAAGAATGGGGATATTGAAAAAAGTATTTTATTTATTCACGTTCTTTCGTTACATTACATTCTCCACATGGCAGTTATATTGCAGCGGCATACAATGATTTTAAATTCTTGTTTCTAATTCCTTCATTATGTATGAGTTTATAATTTTCCATTAGATACTTTTCATCCGTGAGTGTAAGGATACTATTAATTTAAAAGTTATGAGCGAAATTCGAAATTTAATTTTATATTATATCGCTAACGTTATTTGTAATGGAAGTACACATGCAGGAAAAAATGTACAAGTACACATAACTAAACAAATTTGATTTAATAATTAAACTAATTCGTAATTGCAATTGCAATGATTTCCTATGTTATTATTTGACAAAATTTATTTACGGGATAAAATTTAGAACCGCAATGTACGTCTAAATATTCTGCTAAATAACATGTTCAACGATTAGAATATATTACAGAATTACTTAAATAACCACCATACATTAATCCATTGAAGTCGTCGCAAAAATTTTTATGATGAGAAATGGGAGAAGGAATAAAAAGAAATAAATAAAATTTTAAAGATTGAAGGTATTGTGTATGATAATAGAAATAACGTAGCGTTCCTAAAGCCATTATTTGCGAATAAAATTTAATTTCAGTTATACTTCATAAATATATGATTCAATGAGACTTAATATTCTAATTTATATTAATATTTGTGGCATTTATAGGAAATATTTAATATTAAGTAAGTGGTATGTTTCAATGTGTTTTGTTGTATTTCAAATATTAAATATTGTATAATATTTCTATGTAATTGTTATGTAGTTTGCAAACAAATTTAAATAATTTTTCAAGTATATTTATAAATAAATTTATTTGTTTTGCATAGAATTTGCATATCAAATGGAAATGAAACATTAAAAGAGTTTTACTCATAATCACAAGAGTTTCTGCGACAAATATTGGATCATCTATGAATGGTGATAAGTAATTGAGAATGATCTAAAAGGTTTTCAAGCAGAATTTGTTTAAAATATACCATAAAATCATATTAATATAAGCTACTTACATTACCGATTAATAAAAAAATATAGTACGAATGGTGATAACTGAAGTGTTGCGAGGTTATGATATAAACAGAAATTTTGTTATTAACAAAATATGATGATAGAAGAGATGAGTTCTTTTTATTTCAGTGGACTATTTTTATTGAATGTTTCAGCTGCCTCTAACTTCTGTTGACGATGCTTCCTTACCTCGTTGCATTTTTAACCATTCAACAAATTCATCAAGCATCACTGGCCCTGTAAAAATAATTTACATAACGAATGTACGCACATAGAAATTATTACCAATAACATCATAGGAGTACACACATGCTCCATCTAAATCATAATTAGATAAATCATGATTGATTGTACGAGAAAATTCTAAAATGTTGCACCATTGATCTTTATTAATCACTTTGTACTTTGATTGATCTAGGAACTGAGCAAACTGTGTGAACAGTGGCCAATGCTTTCCCAAAAGTAATTGTAGCATAACTCTTGCAGTTTCCATATCCATACTCCTTTGATCTTTGTCCTTAAATATAATAATATTAATAGCACTTATACATGAATATATGAAATATTTAAAAATACATAAATACGTAATAATGCTTACTCTAGCAAAATCATAAGCATATCTGTAAATTCCTTTGAAAGTATGAGGATCGTTTAACTGAATCCTTAGGTACTCAAGTCTCTGTTGTATTTTACTAATAGAATCACACTGTAATTCCGAAAGGCCTTTTAACCATTCGCTTAGTGTAAAAAAACCCATTTGACGGGCATTCATTTTATATGCAAGAACAAGCATTACAACATTTTCAGGTTCTACTCCAATATCTTCGCAAAACTTTTCCATTCCTTCAGGACCAAGAGTGTCTGAATCATCAGGTGTTGTGTATTCTCTAAACCATGTGATACACCGCTTTTGGGAAAAGGATGAAGTGCTTGAAACATCTTCTGTTTTTGTATAACGTCTTGCACTAAAAAAAGGAAAGTATAGAAAATATGAATAATATAGACCTACAATACTCCAAAGTAATTTACCTAGATGTATGTCTAAGCCGTTTCGATGGATGCCTTGGTATACCCTCTTCATGGGCACTAGGTGTCATTTCAATAGATGTATGATGATGATTTGTGCTAGAGGGCGCTCTACGCTTGCTGCGTGGCATCCCTCGTTTAACTAAAATCAACATTTAATGTTTTTACAAATAAATATAATACAAGGTACATTGAATTATATGATATGTATAACATTCATAAGTTTATAGATATAGAAGGTGATTCATGAAAATATTATAAAGATATATATATATATATATATAGCTTGCTAATAAACTATCTTATTATATACATTGGTATTTTTAATAAATATTAACTACAATGAATCACATTACACTACATTATTTTTATTCTTGTATATATGCAATAGATTCTTTTAAAAACTTAATAATGCAATTATTCTTGTGGAGAATATTGTGAATATTCTGACTGTTTGATTGAAACAAGAAAAATAAACTAATACGAACTGATAAAAGATGGTATTGACAATAAATGTAAAAAATGATCTGGACAATGAGTATGAATACAACATACAGCGACAAAATATATTACTTACCACGCAGCGAAGACGTAAGTAATCAGAAAAATTAACGTGATTCAAAGGATCCGTAATATAACTGGTTTGTACTTGTTAAACTGACATCTCCCTTCCGTGTTAGAAGATCGAGTATGAGGTTAGGTTCGACGATTAATTGAAGTATCACGTAATTTTGAACTTTTCTTACACTAGTTTTAACCGCTTTGTACATGTGATATTGCAAACAAATACCTAAGAGCCATTAATATATCGTATAAGTAGAATTAATTCTGAATTGCATTCGTAATGTGGAAATAGAAGGAGCAAGTTACTATATAAAAGAGCTTATGTATGCAAATTATTTTCAGCTGTGACACGAGTCGCATTTTAATGTTAAACATTCGTAGGAATGTGGATCAATGATTACTAAATTATTATAATGAAATATATAAATGTATAATGAATCGAACAGACCCTCCCTACCTTCTTCAACGAACCACTAGAGTAATTGTACCAGAAATGTATTTCTCACAGTCAAAAGTCAACATCAATATAAAACTTGGTTTGCAGTACGGTCTATAAAAATAATATTAAGCATAGTGTCAGCGTCATCAAATATCTAGCTAGTCTACTAATTTGGATATTTTGTACTACCTAAACGCTGCACGGTTAAATAAAACTTTTTCACAGGTCCGCTTTATTTCATTTTATTGCCGTTTCGAGTCAGCATGCCTTTTTCGCAGGGATACCAAACGCAGAATCTATTTCTCACTAGTGGGGACAACTATTGACAAATAAAAAGCAAATATCGATGCTACGTTATTATAATCGCGTAACTTCGATAGTATCGATACCTTGATATAACAAAAATGTATGGAGGTTATTAATATAATATGAAAATGATTTATTTCTCCAATTATTTATTTATCGATAGGATTAGTTAATAGTTCTTGTACAATGATCAAATATTTAAATTTCTATAAATCTTTTCTATAAGCTATTAATTCGACAATTAATAAACTAACTAACACTTAAAACGTAAATTAATGAACGAATTTCAAAGAAATAAACGGAAATACTGAAGTCAGAGATGTTAACAAATTTAGTGTGCCAAGCTATCTCCATTTATTATACAGTTACCAAAAGTTAATCTAAAATTACATACTGAATTAAAATTAATATATTTACATTGTACAAATTATTTATGAAACTAATGATATTTCACTGTTTAATACTTGAGACATATGGGCTGACAGATGACACTGAATATGTGACAGTCAACAAGTGTAATTAAGAACTTAAACGTTGATCTGATACCTGTTTCTTTTTCTTTTTCTTTTGCAGCCATAATTTCTACTTCAAGTACCCTCGACCGCGTATCAACAATATTATCCATACACGGTTCAATGGCGTTTAATCTTTTTTTGGAAATTTGAATATTTACTTTTTTCCCGCCCACCGTCTAGCTGCGCGCGCCAAACAGGAGCCAAGCTGCGCGCGCACAGCTTGCCCGCGATCGCCATTTGTCTTCTGAAAGTTAGCGGTTTTAGACGCTGCGAGTGTTTCTGGAACAATTAGGTATATATTTCATATCTGTTGCCATCTAATTACTGCTAATTGCTATTATTAATCTTATTTACTCTCTAGTAGTGCTTTTATCTAATATTTATATACTTTTAGAAATTTGTAATTTCGTTCTCGCGTTAACCTATGTAAAATTAGGATTACCTATTACATGGTCTGTAATTATAAATAATTTTCTTTCACTGATATTACAGTCTATCGTTGAGTAAATGTTTAGAAGTACATTTTCATATGTGGAATTTTAGTAACTTTATTCGTTACCTTTCAAATATTTTCATTTCATTCGTGCTAGAGACAATTTTCCATGCTCAAGTAGCCAAGTCTACTTGTTTTAGTCTTGATATGAGTTGCATTGTACCGGCTGTGTCGTATTCCATGTAGAATATTAGAGGCATGGCGCCACCAGCAGATGCAGAGAAATGTACAGTAATTATATCGTAAGTGCGGCTGCTCCGTGTTTTGGGTTCCTCGTAATTAGAAGTACAAGTTGGTAATATTACTCTCTTAATTCAGCACTACACTCTCCGAGGTTATCGCTGAAAGTATATTCATGGTTATTCTTGGGGACCTTAATTTGAAACTTCTTGGTGTAACACGTCATATGTAATTTAATACGGAAAGGTATCGTGCCCTGTTGGTAAATAGGTTCCCTCATGATTTTCATATTTATGATAAAGCTGAGGGTAAATGGTGTCGTATGCTTCACATACTCGCCGCCTACATAGGGAGACAAATTTACGCTAGGTGGAGTATGGGTATCTATGATATCGAGCATATATAGATATATCTTTTCCAATGACAGTATTACAGATAGTGTTATATAACAATATTTGCTGAGTACCGTATAAATCGAGATCACGACTTTTTATATGAAAACTCGCGTGAATCGAAAAAGGCGAATCAATAGACGTAGAATATAAAAGAAATTTTAAACACTTAGAATTCCTGAAAATTAGACTAAAATACCTTCTCAAACAAATCGTCACGCAAATTTAGTATTGTTTTTTCTAACATCCTACGATTACTTTATAGACAGTCATTATAGTATCACCTCTTACCCCCTCAAACAAATCGTCACACGATGCTAGTATTTTTTTTGTCTAACATCCTACGATTATTTAATAGACAGTCACTGTAGTATAATCTTTTTTAATATCACCAGATCCATACCCCCGTCACTCTTCCGATAACTTTCCCCGTGAGATGTTCCTGTTATCGAGGAAGATCGTTGATTGTTCCTTTCGTTCGTGCTTCTCGAAGAACATCCAGTTTCTCAGGTTTTTTTTTTAAGTGGCGTTATGAAAGCTCGCGATGTTTCGTTACTTTGCGGAATCCCAGGGAAACTGAGGGACGCGCGAATATTTTCTTTTTCATCCGCGTTGACGAGCTGACAGGAAAAGAAGGGAGCGTAGAATCTCGACTAACGAGGGAAATCGGGGCCGTGAAATTCAGGCAAATACAAATAGAGAGAAGCGGAAACGTTGGAGGGATGCTGGCACGGTTCGAATGCTTCGGTGTCTGGTTTGACCTGTCTCCCAGCATATCCGGTGTATTCCGTAAGAATGAAGTGCCACTGCTCGCCGCCCGGAAACGAATGCAGAATCCGCAAACTGCGCGCTGCCCAGAATGATGAATGAAACGCTCCTCTGGCAATGGCGTAGGGAGAAAAACTGACACCATCGGGCACGACCGCGTCGTCGAAGCTGGGTCGCAATTTTCTGCCGATTTTCGAAAGACCCGTCGATGGATGTCACGTAGGCCCTAAAGCATTGCCAAAAAACACCGGGCTAGGAAAATAGAAAAAAAAAACAAATTAACAAAGATAAATCCGGATAGAATTTGTGAATTTGACGAAAGTTAAGAAATGAAATACTACGACAAACGTTACCTTCTGTATGTCAGAGAACATCCAATACGAATGAATTTAATCGACAATTTTAATCGAGAATATAGGATCGAATCTCGCCGATGATAAGTAAATTTATGTACCCGACGTTATGGCACGCGATGATAAATTTGGTTTCCAAGTAAATTAGTAAAGTTTCGAACTTTGTAACGAATAATTGAAGTTTTGTAACATAGGAAAAGTTTCTTACATCGTGTATTCCTCCGCAGTATTCCTCTCTTCTTCCCGAAACTTATGATTCTTTCTCGGCCCGGGGAAACTTTGTAACTGTTTTTTATATACGCGTAAGAGACGTTCGAGGAAATTCTATTGAAAGTTTTAAATAGGAAACAGGGGAGTTCGATGGGTTCTGTATGTACTCGCTGTTTATAAAGCAACTTGAATTTTCTTTTCTTGAACGCGTTAATTGCGAAGTAGTATGGTAGAATCTAAAATATCTTAAGTATCTAAAATCTCTTATGTATATTTATACATACATCAACATATTCATACAAACATAGACTTGGAGCTGATTGTATGCACTTCGTCATCGAATTAATACGTTCCCAAAGAACGCGGTACTAAAAGTAATCAGCGAAAAAGAATCGATTTTTCGCTTACCACAAAGTAGAATGGACCCTTAAGGATCGAGGAGGAAGCGCGTTACAAGTGATACTCCATTCCCTGCGTTTTCTTGATCGCTGCAACTCGATTCTCGCCAACTACCCCATTTCACGTTTCGAGGAAAAAGTTGGTACTCGATGGTGCCATCGGGCCGCGACGAAAAACATGGCGCGTTGAATCGAACAGATGAATCGGATCCGTCGATTGGCGTGTTACTCCGTGTTGACGAATTGGGAATTAAAAGGGGCGTCGGGTTTCAATGCCAACAGAGGACGAGTTTTCCTCTTCGATCCCAACGTCAAAGTAGCGTCGCGTCGCGAGTTAAGCAAGGTTGCTTCACGTTCGCAAAATTTAAAGGGGTCCCGCCGTTCGTTGTCCGGGATAATTAAATGTCTATTGGAAATTCGTCGGACGTGGCGGCAACGTCCTCGTCGACCCGTCGAGAGGTGATTGAATGCCTCCGCTTGCTCTCGTTCACCATCTTGAATTACAGGTGTCTGCGAACGGCAGATCCATTCTGTCATCACAATGAAGTACTTTCCTAGCCGGCGGCAAACTTATCGTCCTGCACTTAATTAATCACGCGGTATCAGTGGTGTCCCTAGGTGGACCCTGGTCCGCAGCTCCTGATGTTTTTACGACCCGAGAGAACCCGCGGAACGCAAATCTGCGGCTGACTTGCATTTGTCACCCTGCTCGGTATAGGTATCGGCGAGTTTGTCCGAAACTTTTTTCGAAGGACCCGTTCCACTCGTTGGAGGAATACCTCTCGCAACCTGTTGTTTGTGTGTTTTTTTTTTTTTAGTTATTAGACACTAGGAAATATTTATAGAAGTTCGTGATACCGTTGCTCGTTGTAGAAGCTAGCGTTTTCTCTTCTTTTTCCGTTCGAAAAAAGTATCTCGGTACCGAACGAGTTAAATCTTACTCGAAAGTAACGGCTGCAGGGCGAAAAGAAATCGACCCAATTGGATGATCGTTAGAGGACGATTCAGACCCGGATTTTTCGCTTTCCAGCCGATTGCTACACTAATTGAGTTATCCAGGTCGTTAACGAACTCTTTCCCCGCGAAACTAATATTCGTGTATAGCAGCCTGCCGCGATGGAACCATAATGTATCCTCGCGCAACGGAGTGTATCGGGTCTCGTAAAAACTTGGTGAAATTCACCGTCTAGAGCTTGTTCTTTTTCGAAAGACCGCTGCTGAAATACCGCCGCGCCTTTTATAACGTCGAGTTTTGAATTATATACCGTCGCGCAGCGTTGATAATAACGCGTTTTCGCTTTGTGTGGACGCAGTTAATGCCCACCCACTCGTGTATCGTTGTTTCTTTGTTTGCGGGAGACGTGCTGAGCGAACTCGAGCTATTTCCAGAGCCACTTAAGGATATTGTTTCATACGGTTTGTAGGTATCGCTGGATGGTGCAACTTCGTCAACAGAAACATAAAGCTGCTTTGTCGTGAGAAATATTTATCGTTCGACAACGACGGGCGTGCGGTTCGTGGCACTGAACGGATTTCTGTCGATTATACACGGCGCCCTAGTGGTACAAGCGAGTAGGGGGTGATTCTACGTGAAAAATTGAGTCGAAAATGTAGATTAAAATTTGTTCATACGACGCTTTATCTTCGAAAAAAAGAAATATGTTCTAGCAAAGTTTGCAAACATTGTCAACATGATGATACCTCTTACATCGACTTTATATTCTTCTTATGCTTCTGATCTACAATGACATCCGTCGAGTTGAAGCGTCATAGATAACGGATGCGAGCTGACAGGAAGATCGTAAAATGTCGAGGTAAGGCTTACAAGTAAAGCCACGCCACTGTCGGCATTGATGAATTGTTAAAAGCCCCTCTGAATATTCGACAGTAGAATGGAGAATGCATGTTTTGTTCTGGGTGTGCAGCTGCGCCTGTCGAAAGCGTATCACGACGGGCGACTCTGTCGGGCACTTTGGTACGTTTAAAACCGTAGCCACCGATCCGCAAGCTAATTGCCAAGTCCGACTCCCCCGCGTATTGATATATACGCGGCTGCTGCACGTGTACGCTCGCCCTCGCGATACATAGTTGCTTATTAATGCAGAAAGTCGAGCTTCCGCTATACCGTGGGCAAAAACTACGTTGTATCGATGGCCCGCGCCTCGAGTGTTCAACTTTTGGTATTAAATTAACGCGATTTAATGGAATGGAAAATCGAGGCTGCATTCATTCATCGATCAATCGTAATCGTGATTGATTACATAATCAATTAGCTGCGATTGCTGTTGGAGTAATTTCAGACGTTAACTCGAATTCAATTGTAATTCTAATTTCGGTTTCGGTTATAAAATGTGATTACAATTATGTGCAGTAGTATATTCCAACGTTTGGGAGTATACGGATCTTTCTAGATAGAAATATACGATACCGTAGGTTCGACATCACAGTTTCCAAAGATTGGTTTGTTTATTTTCTCGATCGAACTCGAGATTTTTGGTATTCATTCTCGGTCTCGTCTCGAACTTTCATTTCCGTTCGTCGTTCCCAAGCCAGACTCGTTTGTTTAGTTGTTTCAATTCCACTTCCGGTTGCTCTCTCAACTTCCTCGCTTTCCGAAATTAGAAAGATCCGATAATTGCTCGAAAACTGAGTTCACCGTTAGTAAGCTCAGGCGACTGTTTAATTTCGTTCCTGCTGTGAAACTTTTATCTCGGGACTTGGCTCGCTTGAAATTAAGAACAGAATTTTAATCGAGATCGAAATCGACGTATTTAATATCATTTTCATACCGACACTCGATTTTTAGGTTTTCTGATTAGCTTTACAGGTAGAGAAAAATTGAGACCATTCGAAAATACTCTCGAATTTTAGAGTATCGTACTTAGGGTCGTTTTGGAAATTCGCGATGAATGGATGAGAAAGAAGCGAACTCCAGCAGGTTCTTCGTCATCGACGAGTATTCTATCGGCTTTTGAGAGCTCTGAAGTAGGATTGATGTGCGAAAAATTGTGTGAAATGCACGTTTCACTTTTGAAAGGCA